CTGAGCTGAGCAGGAACGAATGTGTAAGGCAACTTATGGCAAAGTCAAACCATCCAACTATGCCCTGGTTTGGCAGAAGGCTGAACCGAAGCAGGAGCTGGTCTGTGTTCTGGTTTTAATGCATCTTCTCAGTGGGTAAATCATATTTTCCAAACCATCAATGGTCTGGTCAAATTATCATCTCATCATTACGGATCGGGTTTGTAAGGGTTTACATTTGTCTTAGAAGAAATAACATTATTATGCTGTCCTACTTTGACATTAATGTTACTTAAGGTTCAGTAAATTTTATTTATATTTATCAAACTTCTCAGTGGCAGCTTAGATAAAGGCATGGTTGAGTGCAAGTTGTTCGAAAAAAGTTTCACTACCACCGCAGCACAAGCCTATGGTATCACCTCAGTGCTAAACACGAAAGCTAACGTTAGCTACAACAGTTCTGGTACAGACAGACTGTAGCCAGCCCACAACAGACCAGATGACGGGGTTCAGAGCCAGAAGAGTCCTCAAATGTTGAATATAATAACTGTAATTGAACTGTGGGCTTGTTTTAATCTCTAAGAGTAAACAGATGAAAAATGCAGATAAATATAGATGAAAATAATTTATGGTTTCTACATCAACATGCATGTCTATTTTATCCTCAACCCAAATGATCATACATTATTTAAAATAGCAAAGTCCAGAATGTCATTTATTGTTGTTTGATTAAATAACTGATGCGTTGTGTTTATTTACCTAAAAAGTCAGACTCTTTTTAACACTTTTTTCACGTTTGTTATTTAATGTCATTTTGACCTGGAAGTTATCACCAATTCATCACTAAAACACCAAGACATTAATGCCATCTGTTTGATCAGTCACACTGTCAGAAGCACTGACCTGTCAGTGGGTGAAAAGGTTAGGGTGAGCTTATTTGAACGTGCTGTAAGTGTAAACTCCTACTGACTGACTGATGGGCTGAGCAAGGCCACATTTATGTTTCCCCTGATTAAACCTCAAACTCAGTTTCCACTTTCTAACAGCTCCATGACTGCACACTGAAACAATCCTCCGTTAGGAGCCAGATTTTAAGATTAAAGGATACAATTTTCTCAAACATTGTAGGGATGTGATTAGGCCCTGATGTAAATCTGTCTCTGAGTTTTCTTTGCACCGAGGGGAACTGTGCTTTGTTCTGCACTGCAAGCTCCTCGTATTCATGTACCCCTCTGTCTCCTCCTAAGAGACCCGTTTGTTATAAGTGGGAAATCTGTCTCGCCACCATCCTCTGCTGAGTGGAACATTGTGCACAGAAAAGCTCATACTTCTCAGCTGACTTGTCTGCCACAGAAAGATTGTGTTCAGTAGCCTTTAAAGTTGAGAGACAGAAACTGGTTTGTGGCTATGAAGAAGAATTTATGGCGTAATTGTTCCAATTACAGTATTCAAACTTCAAATTAAATGTTGGCGATGACTTCCTGATGTGAGGATGGTATATCTTCCTGATGGGAAGGGGGGATTGGGAAGTCTTTTTCCTTTGTCCAGCTCACACTTTCCAACATGTCAAATATCCATTATGGCTCAGGACTGCTGGATTTGTCTGTGAGTCAGTGGGTCAGTATGCAGGGCAGTGGTGCCAACGTGTTGCCTCAGGGCTGCTTCTGTGTTAACATGTGTGTTGATGGTTCAGGAACATTTTTTCCGCCAGGAAACATTAAACAGAGCTGCTACTACCCAGAAAGAAGCAGTGTTACCTGCAGCTTGGAATCTTGGCAACATAGGCAACAAAACAGACAAGTGTAAGCAGCAGCAGACTGACCATGATTTTCATATTCATTTAGGAATAATAAATATGGATGCAGTGGTTATTGGATGGACCAGTGGGTGTATGGATGGATACATAGCGATTAGCTTGACTGCCTTTCCAACAGAGAGTCCTGGGTTCGATTCCCAGAGGAACAACACATTTGGTGCCTCCAAGGGGCAGGCTGTTGCAGCAGATCTGCTGTTGACACAAGAATTTCCCCAGTTTTGGATCAATAAAGTTCAAATAATTAGATGGATGTGTGCGTAGAAAAAAACCCATTACATAGTGATGCAGTAATATAATTTATATACAAATGGAGTCATTTTACTTTTTAACTACATCTGCTTTGTCCATAAAGCCTAACTTGTGAGGTACTGTGCTTTTGCTGTCACCACCCAGATCTGCTGAATATTTTATTATGTTTTTGCATGTCTGCCTCATGAAAATCTTGAACACAGCAGCTGTTGGCAAAAAATCCACATCCAGTCTCTCTTTCTTTTTCTTTCTATTTTTTTCTACAAAACTAAACATTTTTTGGTGTCACAGCTTTTACTCTTTAGTTAAAAGTTTTCCACGTAGAGTATGACGGAATGGCAGAATCTTGACACTGATTGGCCGTAACTAATGTTTGTTTTCAATGCCTTTCTTCTTTCACAGTCACTTCAGTCCTTATGTTTCTGTCCAGTTTTTTTCACCAAAGGCAGGGCTGTGGTTTTGCTATTGATTTCTTTGCTCTTCTCTCCGTGTAGATGTTCAGATCCGTCTGCTACTGGACTAAATGTTCCTTATCTCCGGGCTCCATGTTTGATAATTACAACCTCCACTGAGTGTGGCATGAATGAAAGGACGTGTAAGAATAAGACCATGTCGTTTTATATATACTGATATTTTCAGATCCATCCATCCATTTTCATCCGCTTATCCGTTTCCGGGTCGCGGGGGCAGCAGTCGCCACCCAAATCACATTGCACCGTACCAAACCTTCCTGCGGGTGGTGAGTCCACTGGAAGGTACCAACCGCCCTAACCGGGATTTGAACTTGCCCAGGAGGTGAACCCTGGGGTTCCACACCAATGACAGAGACATTGCCTCTGGGCCAAAGCGCCACTATTTTCAGATCTTTTAATTAAAAAAAATTGGGGTTCACACATGTTCTAGAAAATGAATGTCCAATTTTGTAGTATTAGAAAATAGAAGAATAGTCAAATGAAAGATTTTCCTCCTTCCTGCTTCTCCCTGATTTAGTAAATAAACACAGGTTCAAAGTTGTCTGTTCTGATGCCATCTTTAATAGGCCTTATTGAATATTTCTACTGCTGGCACAAATTCCTGAACTGGCTAATAATCCAATACTGTTTGGATATGTAGCTCGTGAACCTCACAGGTCAAGTATTTGCGTTCAGTGTCAACACGTGTCTCAGACAGACCCTCCTCTGTTTTACAGATGGGAATATGCAGCTTGCCTCGCCTGATTCCAAACTTTGCATCATTCACACTTTTCTTTTTTTTAATTGACTGCAGTTCTCAGATGATTGATGTATACTTTCTAAGATCCAGTTTGGCCATGTATTTGTGTATTCATATTTATTTATATTAGTTTTTTATTGATGACAACTTTTCATACTGATCATTCAGACCACGCGGATGTTTATCTGCATCACAATATTGAACCAAACATCATTTTTTGTTTGGTTCAATCTGAACTGCCTTTTTTTGTGGCCACAGGAATATTTATTGAACGACAAAAACAGACAGCTTTTTTAGCAGTTGAGTCACGCTGTTCACAAGACATTTTTCTCCAGAAACAATGAGAACTGTGAGTTTTCTTTGTGTGCAGCTGAGATTTCCTTTCAGCAGAGCGGAGGCGGGCGATTATTTATTGAAATAGTTGTTTTTTTTTGTGGTGATCTGCATGACACATTTTAACATAACACAACACCATAGTCTTAATTTTAGCTGTAGCTTTAAGGCATTTTCAAAACCTTATGATCATAGACATTCATTATATAAATCAGACAGTGGCCAGCCAGCTGTGAGGAGACTGGATTGACTGGAGTAAAACATCAATAACTTGAAAGGACAGCAATAAATCCTCGGTTATATTCTTTCTGCTCAGTCAAAAAAAAAAAAAAACAGTATACACTAAAGGTTGCGACTTCTCACTTTTTAGAAAAAATGTTGTTTTTACCAGATCCAAGTTGATTTACTTTGTTTTTATTACACCATTAATCACTGCTGTATTGTGTCGACAAATTATTCTTGTTTCATTTGCCAGCAAACACTGACAGAAATTGTGAAGTAAAGATTTAGTGTGAGCAAAAGCTCTCAGGAACCTGTTTGGCTTCAAACATCACAACTCATCTGGGGTTTCTTCATTGTTATTCGTTTTATTAAGTGTTTCCTGGGACTACATCAATATTACTCATCCATATAAATCTTAAACGAACCTTCTGTTGACTGCTGAAATGAACAGTTAGTGAAAATAATAAATTGCAGCCTTTTACGGAATATTGCTCTGTTTGATTAGGAGAGATTGCCAATTAAATGTTTCTCCATATTGCACATACATAAGCATAATAACTGTGGAAAGAATGCACAAAAAGAAAACAGCAAACATGTCTTTACACCTACGACTGCTTCATCCATTACAAGGATGTATCCTCTACCAAACCTTCACTTTAAGTTAATCCTTTAACCCTTAGCAGTTGAAACACTCTGAATGTCAAGGATATGGCATATGTTCATGTGATTTTCTGTAACTGCTCTTTTCCATGTCAGAGATTTTTATGGCAGGAACTGGAAGAAATTGAGCTGAGCAATGGAACGTAAAGGTGCTGAGGTTGTTTTTAAAAAAAATGTCTGAGGCTTGTGGTATCATTTTATAGAATTCTTTCCATTTCTTTATTAGCGTTTAGGACCCCCCTCCCACCTCCACCCTCCGACCCCAACCCCCAGTTTAGGTAGTTTAACATTTCTCAAAAGGAGACAGATGTCTTTCATTTTGAACATGCGAACATGTTCTTTTACCTCCATAACTTCAGCCCTGCAACAACTTAGTAGGAAAGTGTATAAGAGCCAGGACATTTCAACAGGACAGGATTTTCCATAAGGCAAATGAAATGAATGATGCATTTTATTTCCCCTTCTTTATTTTTGTCCACCAGGCCTAATGTGTTGTCCTCTGGTGAGAGTAGTGTATTTGTTAGGGGAAGCTTTGGATTCGATTTGATTTTATTTCCTCTAAATCTTTTGGTCAAGTGTTTAATGTCTGGTTTTCTGTGGCGTGCGGACAATGTTCTGTGGTTTTAGGGTGACACTCGATGAGGAGCGTACACAGGAAAAGGCTGTAGGTGAGATTTTCAAGGGGTCAATGTAGTTGTTTTCCAGCCTCAGTGTCACCAGAGTGGAATCTCCGTGGTAGTTTGGGTCACAGATGCCTTCGTCAGGGACACTTCTAAAGAACACCACATTAAGAAAAAGCAGTTTAGTATTATCATAGTCTTCAACTTTTTTTATATTAATATATTTAGTGAAGAATTTAGCACCATCGAGCACAAACCGATGTTACTGTCACTGCAGCATGGCCCTGGTGGTGACTCATAAAGTCACAACAATTAGTTTTTTCTTTCGTTGTCATGACGTTCTGTCCATCCAGTCAACCTTCAGCTATAATATTGTTTGTCTGACTGTAATGAATGAGTCAGTCATCTAGTCGGAATTTATTTGCTGGAATTGAAGGATTAAATGGATTTTTTCCCTGAAATGTAATGGCTGATGACATTAATGTTCCCATGAGACATTGTCTGATTGCAGGTCCAGACGAAAGGTTTACCTGATCTTGTTGTTGTTGAGTCTGAGAAAGTGTAAGTTAGTCATCTCGTTGATCCCAGACGGTACGTTGACCAGCTGGTTGTGGTCCAGACATAGTTCCACCATGGACTGATATGTGCCAAAGAACGACTCTGGTTCTATTCCGTCCCCATCCAGTTTGTTGTAGGATAGGTAGAGATACTCCAGACCAGGGTCCATGTGGGCAAAGACGTAACCTGTTGAGATGGAGAAAAAAGTCAAGTGCATTAAGAACAGAGACCTTTTTCTTTTTCTGAATGGTTGTCCTACACAAATTCATGTTGTGGAATCAAACATCCTTGTCTGTTAAAGTGATTCATTTTCATCCTTTCTTAGAATTCCAAGCTCCTAAGTTCTACATATACCTCAATAAATGGAAGGACATGTTTAAAAGGTTGATAAAGAAATTGTGTCATTCAGAAGTTCCCACCTACCAGGTATCCTCTCTATTTTGTTTCCAACTAGCACTAAATGAACCAGAGACGTGGGCAGGTAGGAAGGAACCAGATAAAGGTCATTGTGTGAAAGGTCAATGGACTCCAGATTTCTGTAGATTATGAAGATGAGAAGGAATGAATTTTAAACACATTTGAAAAAAATAAGTAAGTAAAATAATATGTTTAAACAAATCCATCCAAATTGGTTTTACTATAACTATGAACATAAGTGCATTTTCTTTGTCTCAAACCTGTGGCTAAACCACGCCAGTGGTGCAATTCTGGTCTCATCCAGTCTGTTGTGTCTCAGAGAAATCATATTGAGATTTCTGGTCTGATTGAAAACAGTCTCTGAGATTTCTTCAATCATGTTGTTCTCCAAGTACAGCTCCTGGACAACAGGCAAGAAAACAGGATACAGATGATGTCACTTAGAGATCACCTGACATTTTTATACACATACATTTGTTTTCTAATGATGAACTTTAATTGAAGTCCAATGTCAGTTCTACTTAGTCTAATTGGTTTTTTTCCCCAATTCACTTCTATTTTATTCAATGGTGTAATTATATTTTAGTCAGATAATCTTTTAACTCTTTACTCTGAAACATTGGAAAGCAGCAGCCATTTTAAAATTATAATGATGAAATGTAGGGCTTGGAATTCACAGCAGGTGCAAATCATCTTCAGTCATAACATGAGGTTGGTGTAAAGAGGATTTAAAGCAGCTACATGTTACTGCAATTGTACAACATTGGTGGTTAACCAAGAGCCAAAATAACAAGGTGGTTGACTTCCCACAGATAAGTGCTGATTTTACTTAACAAATTGGTCTTAGAATACTGAGTCATCAGTGCTGAGATAATTTGACTAAAATGCTACAGTGGAACCTTGGTTGTCTAACGCATCCTTTTCTGAACAATTCGTTTCACGAACACAATTTTTAACCAAAAAGTTGTCGTACCATAACTCGGTTGCTAAACAAGTCAACAATATCAGGCAGGCAGCATGTGATCACTGAGCGACTGAGCGTGTGGGGTCAGTCTTGCCTCAGCCTGCACTCAGGATATACACGCTAAGAACTGCTCTCTGATTTTGCCGGTATTTCTTCCGCTGTGCTACCAAAGCATGAGAATGACACTTGTGTTTCAGATCTGACTTTACAGTATGGCTTAGCAAAGTCGTCGATCTGTACAATCATAAAGAACAAAGAAGCAATAAAAATTATTGTGGGAAAGCGAAGCAAACATTGCCCAATCACGACTCCTCAGCTCCGCTAAGAATGAATGAAATTGCTTTTCCTCTTTATAGCTTTATTCTTACTTCAGTTGTGTTTCTGTTTTCTGTTAGATCGAATTATTTTCATTGGTTTCGTGCTTGAACCTGTCCACAAAATACTGTTAAAAAAGTTTGCGTAAACGATCATCCAGGGTCCAGGTTAATCCATTTTACATTGATTCCTATGAGGAAAATTGCTTCCAGGTTCCACTGTATTTGGTGACATGTTCTTGACTATAGCTTTTCAGACCAATGAAGTAAATCCTAACTTGAATGTTTCGCACAGAAACTATGGTTAAATAAGTATGGAGAAATTAAGGGGCCGATAATAATGTAAACAAGCAGTACTCCATACCAGGAGTGAAGCGGGCAGGCCCTGTGGTATGGTGCGGAAGTGGTTCCTGCCCAGTCTGAGGTAGGACAGTTGGACGAGGGGAGCAAAGGCCAAAGGATCTACATGTCCCTCGCTTAACAGGTTTCCTTCCAGTTCCAGGATCACCAGGCTGCTCAGATCTAGAAAACAGTTTAACATGTACATGTGTTTTAGTCAGATTTATTTATTTATACGTGTTCCTGTGACCTGTTGTACGTGCACTTGATTGACATAGCATAAAGGGACAGGCTTCAGCAGCATCAGGCTGTAGTGACTGGACTACAGTATGGTGTGACAGTGAAGCTACAGCCAATCAGGATTCAGTCTCAGTACCTTTGAAGCTGTTTTCATCGATCCTTCTGAGCTTATTCTCACTAATCTTCAGTTCCTGTAATGTGGGGGGAAGGTTAGAGGGCAGGTATTCTAGAAGATTCCCATCCAAGTAGAGACGCCGCAGCTTCTTCAGACCCTGGTGACAAAACACTGGAAACATCAGTTTGTCCAACGCTATCATACTTTTTATATCTTTTTTTTTTAATGTTGTTATCGTTTTGGCTTTTACTTTGAAGACCATCGGGTCGATACTGGCAGAAGTGAGTTTGTTTTTCTTCAAGTTGATCCATTCCAAGTTGGGAATACCATTGAAAGCTCCTGCTGGGATGCTGCTGATGTTGTTACCTGCAGGTCAGAGCATGACATGGTTAACCTGAGCAGTTGACACAGGAAGTTGATAGGAAGTAGTTCTACAGGCATTATATTCATTTGGATAATAGGTGGTCAGAAGCTCCTGTGGTGCCTTCACTGTAATAACAGTTTAGAGAAATGCTGTACTTCCTTTGTACTTAAGGTCAGAAGGCACTTGTTACTTGTTTATTATCATGTTTTTCCATTTCAGTATCATCACTGCTACACGTTAAAACAGGCCGCCTGCTAAATCTGACTGTGTGAATTTAGCCTGGGGTAAATGGAGCAGTGTAGCTCCATAAATCAAAGGTGGTCTGAGTTGTGTGTTTTTGTCATTATGTGGAGTAACATTGTGGTTCAACTTCTGGTAAAACCATTTGATGATTCCATTAGGTCAGAGTTTGAAAACCTCCCAATAAAACTTTCAAACTCTTAGGACTCTGGTGCTGGACTTAGAATGTAATGTTGACGTTTTGAAGCTACCGTGTGTTCAAGCTCATCTTCCATTTGTTATGACGCTCACTTACCCTCCAGACTCAGGGATGTAAGCTCAGGAATAGACATTGGAGGAAAGTGAAGGAGTTTGGCATTCTCACACGTCACAGTGACATCTGAAATGTCACAGCCTGGTGGAAGACCTCCTCTGTTTACTGTCTGCACCTCCTCCCTTTCCTCATCCTCTTCCGGATCCTCATTTCCTTCCTCCAGCTCCAGCTCATGCTCTATCTCCACCGGGGGTTTGGGGATTGGAGCAGGAATAAGGTCTGGTTCTTCAGGTTCTTTTGGAGGCATCTGAAACACATCTCCTCTCAGCCACACTCTCTCTTCCTCCTCCTCCTCTGCCTCCTCCGGCCACATTTTTTCATCCTCATTTTCCAAAGTCCATATTTTCTCCCTAAGGAGCTCTTCGTGCCTTCGTCGTTCTTCCTCCAGTTTCCTTTCCCTTTCCCTTGCTTCTCTCTCAGCTGCTTCCTTCCTCTTCTTGTCTTCCGCCTCCTGCAGCTTCCTTTCTTCCTCCTGCCTCTTTCGCTCTTCCATCTGTCTCTGCCACTCCTCCTCCTCCTTCTCTATCTGGAGCCTCAAGGCCTGCTCCTCTTGCCTCCTTTTTTCCTCCACTATCTTTCGTTGTCTCTCCTCCTGCTCCTTCCTCTCCTTCCTCCTCTTCTTCCTTGCCTCGTCCTTCTTCCTTAGACGCTCCTCCTCTTTTCTGTGCTCCTCTTCCTCACGCCGGAGAATTCGTTGGATCTCTTCATGGGTCAGCGGGGTCACAGAATCACCAGGGTCATTAGGAACTGGGGAGTCACCAGAAAGGTCAATGTTGAGGTCAGGATTGAGTGCAGGTTTAGGGTGGTGGGTTGCTGCCAGTCATATGGCAAATGGCAATAGGAGGATGTAGTTTGATGGAGATTAAGGAAATAGGGAAGGGTATAGAAAAGGGGAAAGTGGGGAAAGAACAGAAATAAGAAAAGGGGGACAAAGCAATAGAAAAGCAAAGAGGAGGAAAAAAAACTAAGACGAATGAAACAAGGAAGTAGATGAGGACAGACAGAGACAGAGACAGGAGATGAACAGACAGAAACGGCCGTGTGTTAGTGTTGTAAACTGACGGACAGATACAAGACCAGTTGTTGAAGCTACAGAGCAAATGCTGCCGTAGACCAGTCTGGACTAAACCCCACAACCTCTCCTGTTTGAGGTGAAGTTGTTTTACTCTTGTATTTAACTATGTAAGAGTTAGCAGCTACAAACCATCGAACCAGCTTATATTTTTATGATGGGCCGCACGGTGACAGAGGTTAGGGTTCTTGCTTTACAGCAAAAAAAATCATAACTCAATACTTGTTCCTTCCTTGTTGCCTTTGCTTGTTTCCCCCTATTGTGTGTATGGTGTTTCCAATGTTTACTTCAGTCCAAAAACAGGCAATTTATTTGAGTGGTCTCTTTAAATTGAACATTGATAGATTTTCATCTGTCTGCCTGTCATCCAGACACTACTAAACTAAGCAAGAAAACCATTTTGACTTAATGTATACTGTCATTTGACACTAAAATATTAAAATGAATAGACCACAGAATAAAGCTGCTAAAACTGTAAAGATTGTTCAGATTGAATAGATTATGTTTTTATTGTTGATCTAAGACCCATTCTATCTTCACGTTCAAACATATCCAATTCAGATTCAGCTCTTGTCTGACCATGCAGTAACACCCAACATAAAAGAGAATGAAAGATCAGCAACATGTGTTCTTACTCATCCAAAAATGTGCTAACCACATTTTAAAGCCACAATGGAAATTAAGGCAACATAATGAAGCATCAGAGATGGAAGTGAATGAGCTTGTAATTAACTTGAACTAAAATAAAATAAAGGACCAGATACTCACGATAACAATTGATGTAGATTACTTTTAGATGAAATAAAAGTTTAAAGTTTTCTGATGGTTGAGTTGCTCATCTCTGTTGCCTCTTGATGTTGCACCATGGCAACAACACATGTCGTGTTTCTACCTGGCTCCATGCAGACAGGGCAGCACTCACCAACAGGAAAAAAAGGGAAGTGAAACGACACGACGCGG